CTCAGTGTGTCATTCAGAATATTACAACAGTTCACATACTGTTACATATAACTCACCGTCATGATCGCCATCTGTGTTTTTGTCATTGTCATCATCATCATCATCGCCATCTCCTTCCGGACCGGTTGTCCATTCGGTTGATTTGGTGCTCGAGGTTTGTTCTGGAGGAATGGAATAAGAATGGGTCCTATCAATTTGAAATGTTTTTGCTATAGAGGCAGTGCGTAGCATTTTGTTATCAAATATATAATATATTTATTTATAATACCAAAACAACACAAGTGACGGATTAGCATGATGCTTGAAACTTGATGCAGAAGTTCGATAAATGGCAGATCATTTAGGATTTTCTGATCTAAGATCTTGCCTGTGTATAAAGGAAGACAGTAACATTTTCTTTACTTTGAACTGTGGCTTTGATGTACCGTTTGAATTCTACAGACAATAATTGGCTATCAAGGAATACAGGAATTGTTTCTTCGTTTGTCTTCAGAACAATTAGAAAAGGCGCTTCGGATGTTGGTACAGTATTAGTTGGCTCTTTCAGAAATGAGGCACAGACAACTACATTCACATGTGTCTTTCAATTCAACCTGAATGGCAATTTTACACCTGAATGGCGGTTGTCAAATTTCGCTTAACCTGAGTTGGTGGAATGTATTAGTTATCAAGTATGAACGGTGTTGAAAAGTGGGTGTTTTTGTTGTGATTTAAATCTCGATAGTTATTTAGAGTTCTTCTCAATTACTTTTTTTGGACATTCGTAATATAATATATCTAACGGCTAGAAACGAAGACAACGGACTGCATTTATGTAACCTGGAAGCGATGAGATTGTGCATGGGCATTGAATGCCTTTTCCAATTCCGTTCGATTACTGAACCCAATGGTGTCATCATCCGTCAAGTCGGTTTCACGTCTGATGGAGCTACATTGGGCGATAAGGTGTTCACTCCTGCATTTCGTTGCCCGTTCACCATGGTTTTCTGTTAAAGATTGTAGATCTAATCTGAACTTTGTTCATCAGTGCGTGCAATGTTTAGGGGTTATTTACAATTTGTATTGAACGTATTTACGCATCCCATTGAGTCAATATAGAGCCGTCAAGCATTCCATATTCTCGTTGATCGAAGCTGCATACATTCGCATGCCCAATCCATTCTTTATGCCGAGAAGAATGCTTTGTATACTCCTAAACACATCTGGCCTACTACGCTTCTTAAGAAATGACGGTTTTGAAGAAATTTGCCACGCCAATCAAATCAAGATTGTTTCACCTTGTAGGAATACCCTCTCCCGTTTCCGCTCCATAACGCGATGTGCTAATGTTTTTTTCCGTTTAAACCAATTCCTGGTCGTCATATCTCCTTGATTATTCCTTAATCACGCCTTAACACATCGATTAAACTGGACAAAGTTGATACACTTTAGTAAACATGGTAAAACTCATTCATATATACAACTGTGCGAACCTGCCCATCAGTTATAGGCACCATCTAACGCAACCTTGATCATTTGCAACATATTGCATCTCAGTTGATTTATTAAAACACTTGAATTCGAGCATTCACAATCGCCCAATTCTTCCTTCTCATCTACAAGAGAAAACCTGATCCGTGGAGAGCATGGTAAATTGTCGTGAGAAATAAGTAAGAGCAACTCCAATGCATCATCACACTCGTCAAACGTGCTAAAAAGAATTCTACTTATCAATATTCCTTTAACCAAATTACTTATAGCCGGCTGCCGCTACGGTTCGGATGTCATCACGTGGAGGCCAAAATAGACGCGGAGACGAGGGATAAAGAAATGCCCACAGCGATAAGGTAGAGCGAGTGTTTCTCGTCTTCCGTGCTGGTGTCCAAAAGACTGTCTAACTAGTTGGTTGGATACACTGAACGCTATGGCAAAGCACGAACAGCAGTATTGTTCTGGTTGTCTTTACTGATCAGAGCAAAATGTTTTAGGAAGTGTGTACACACACACACAGTCAGACATTTTCTACTCTGTCTGTTGACCATAGAGGTGAGACTTTCTTTCCCTACCCTCAAAACAAGTCCAGACTTCATGCAACTTAAGCACTGGAGCTGAATTTGTGTGAGTCTCGCGAGTTTAGCAATGGCCAGTGCTATTCGTTCCACGGTATTTCGATGAAATAGGAGTAAGAAGACGACCATGATGACATGGACGATGTGCAGTCTGATTATGACGATGATGATATCGACGATGATAAGGATGAAGTGGGTGATGTCTAGTGTGATGATGATGTTCATGATGAAGATGAGGATGAGGTTGATTATGATGACGATGTTGTTGATCATGGTGATATTTGTGTGTATTGATCTGGCATATTCTCCCTGTTTCTATAATTCGCACTTGTTGCAATTATATTCCACGGGATTCAATTTCCGTTCACTCACCTTCATTCTTTTCTTGATTGTTTGTGGTTTCCGGATTTAGTTTGATGTTTTGATCGGAGGAAGATTTAAGATCAACACTAGGTTCTCCGGCATCATCAGCACTACTAGCGTTGATTATCGGTTCTGATGTGAATGATTCCTTCGCGGTTGTGATTGTTGTTTTTGTCGATGATGATGATGACGATGCCGGTGCTGTGGTCATGCGGAGGGTTGCAGTATCGGAGGATATGGTATCACTCCCAGTGTTCTTTGTTTTTGTTTCTGTTGCTGTTCTTGTTGCGGTCGAGGTTTCCGTCGTCGTTTTAGATTCGTTTTGATCCTGATTTCTGTCAGATACTGTAGGAAGTGAATGATTTGAAGCAAATCGAAGTTGTACATGCGACGGTATTAGTTGATGAATGAATTTCTACTGGAATTTGTTATGAACAATATGTAGCGAACACGGATTGTTGGTTTGCATTGGATGTTGAGTACGAGTGTATGTGGATAAGTGGCCGGCGGTTTCACTAGAAAAGTGCTTTTGCACAGACGAGTAAATTCTTCTGGGTATCTGTATTACCTTGTATTATTCATTCACGCAGTCATGCACTTTTGGAACTGGCTTCGGTCACCTTGTTGTGCTTTTCTCAGTGTGTCATTCAGAATATTACAACAGTTCACATACTGTTACATATAACTCACCGTCATGATCGCCATCTGTGTTTTTGTCATTGTCATCATCATCATCATCGCCATCTCCTTCCGGACCGGTTGTCCATTCGGTTGATTTGGTGCTCGAGGTTTGTTCTGGAGGAATGGAATAAGAATGGGTCCTATCAATTTGAAATGTTTTTGCTATAGAGGCAGTGCGTAGCATTTTGTTATCAAATATATAATATATTTATTTATAATACCAAAACAACACAAGTGACGGATTAGCATGATGCTTGAAACTTGATGCAGAAGTTCGATAAATGGCAGATCATTTAGGATTTTCTGATCTAAGATCTTGCCTGTGTATAAAGGAAGACAGTAACATTTTCTTTACTTTGAACTGTGGCTTTGATGTACCGTTTGAATTCTACAGACAATAATTGGCTATCAAGGAATACAGGAATTGTTTCTTCGTTTGTCTTCAGAACAATTAGAAAAGGCGCTTCGGATGTTGGTACAGTATTAGTTGGCTCTTTCAGAAATGAGGCACAGACAACTACATTCACATGTGTCTTTCAATTCAACCTGAATGGCAATTTTACACCTGAATGGCGGTTGTCAAATTTCGCTTAACCTGAGTTGGTGGAATGGATTAGTTTTCCGGTGTGGAGTGTGTAATCCTTTTTTGGTTCTTGTAATCAAGTGTTCGTTTTTTCGTAATACATCATTCTGGGAAATGTAATCCGTTTGAGTTTTTTACGTTTTGCCTTATGTTCTTATTCGTAGTTCTATATATGTATTATGCAAAGATTCATTTTCATCTAGAGGCCCGTGTTTAACGAAAGGATTACCATGTAACTCAACTGGGATATTCAGTGATTGGTTTTTTCCGTAGTCACATTCGCGTGTAACTTTTTGTTGAGATTTTCACCGCTCCATTACTTCATATTGTAATATTGTGTCCCCGATGCCTAGAATTAAACAGGGCACTGAATTTACGGAACCTGAAAACGATCAGAATGTGTTTGGGAATGGAATGCATTAGACAATTCCGGTCTTTTGCCCAACCTTTTCATGACATCATCTCTCGCTACGCTATGTTATACTTGCTCAATGTTTTTCATAACTTGTCGTGCTGTTTGCACGTGCCAGTGTCTGAATCTGTTCATTGAACGTAGGAAATCAGGGGAAGATACATGAAGGAGCTTACCAAATACAATTTCAGGAAGATAGTGCCTGCTTTGCGTTGGACGGAAGCTAAGCGTACGCTGTTCAGATTTTCAGTTTTACTATTTAGAAAATGACTTGTGGGAACATATGATGATGCTTTTTGGATCTCTGTGGAAATGTCCTATCATTCTGATCCTCACAATTCCAACTTATGTTTATTTTGGTCAGTGAGGTTAGCTTTTACTCAAACTATTCGTCGTCTTCCAACTGATATCCGAGACAGAGCTCCATAAAATGTTTGTTGTTCACAGACATCATGGATTTAAGGACAGTGATTTCAATCGAATCAACAACAGGCGTGTTTATCAACGTACACCCCATATTTCATCGAACTCTTGCAAGATTCGCTCTATATCAACGCGCTTGAAGAAACATTACCCGAGATTGGATGTATTGTTTAAAATAAAACTAACAAAAGCAAAACACAGGAGATATAAATTAATCTGACCTGTAGTTGAGGAACGACAGTTTGGTACTAATTTTGTACCATCTGGAACAGAAATAAATTTTGAAAATGTCCTTTTTATGAACATCTGTCTGTCTTTATGCTTATAAATGTGACGGAGAATATATTGTTACTACCTGCTGAAACAAGGAGATGAATGTATTTCCTTATCTGATGAGTAAATAATCACTTTTATTTGATCGGTATCATTCGAAATAAACGCCCATTAATTTGGAGTGAAACGGCGCAATTAATAGCTATTTCAGCCTTTGCTTTGTATTTGGAGATGAATGGATCGAAATAGGTACTGCTTCCTAATTGAGATTAATTGCCCGAATGCCTGCACTCGATACCTTATGGTGTCATTTCGTATAATTGCTTTTTGTTCTGATGCCATTCTATTGATTCATGTTACCGTAAGCGTGAGATTCCTCTTGCATAGATCTTTTTGATCAGGTGCCTTAGACACTAGTCTCGAAAAATTTGATAGTTACGTACTTTCTCTTGATTCAGGATGCCGGTTCTATCCTAGAACACAATCATTTTGATTCATGTAAGTTTATCGTAAAATAGTGAAAGAACGCTTCTCTTTTGTGGATTTGTGAATGAAAAGACGGTAAGATTTAAATGGTACTTCACAGATCGAGTAAAACATACTTATCCTTCGGTCAGTAACAAAATGGGGTTGAACTGAATTTATGAAGAGCACATGGCCACAAAATCAGATGTGTTCAAGCAAATTTGGTAGTACTATTGTGTCCAGATGCGAGCCGTCAAAAGCGACGATAAGTGAAACATGCACAATAGGATTTATTATACGACTAGAAAATATTACGTAGAATGGCATCATAATGAAACCGTGGGAGCAAAATATTCGGTAAAATTGGTCGAGAATAAGCCCAAAATACCTCATTTTTCACGCAATGACAATTTCTCTGCGTGCGGAGAAACCAGAAATACCGTATAGTGGCTTACATAGAATATCGGGTGCTGGAAAGGAAGACGGCGGATGGTCATATCATTTGGTGAATGAAAAAGTAAACGTTTGTCAAAAATCCGAAAAGCCGAATAGGTTTGCCGAACCTCACGATATCCTGTAAGATTTTCACTAGGTACATGTCCTAGCTCAATGTATCGATCCATTTGGAATGGTTGTTTCTATTCCAGCATCTGTTCTTGTTGAAGTCGGTGTTGAGGATAATGTTAGTTTGTTTATTATTGGGGATATTGATAAAACATACATAAATACATTATCGGTCGAAACCAAATATAATTATTTGTAATTCACTTTAATTCGGTGACACAGATTCGTAAATACTTTTTCTACCACTATTGTTAGTTATGTCTGCCAAAGTTAAGTTCTGTAGTAAAGCAATACTATAAATATTCCAGGTAGAAGTATCTTTTACGGAATTATATTTGATATTTGACTAGCTTTGGCATTCATTTAATGATCAGTCGGTAATAGAAACGGCATTAAAGAAACTTAAAATTATGACTACCAAAGCAATAAGCACTAAATTCAATATGAAACGCATTGCAATTTCTTACAGAGAGATGTGAAGTGCGTTAACTTTATTTGTTTCTCGGATTTGTCTGAAGATGTCTCCAAACGATTTTTTATTGTATTCGTTGTTGGTTGTTGTGCTTGCTGTTGTTCAGTCACGTCGATCATGAACTGGAACGTCATATACAGCCATATATTACCATTTATTGCGTCTGCAATGATGTTGATTGTCCTGGAACCCCACGACTCCGAAGCCAGAAATTCCAAAAGCTTCAGTAAAATAAAGTAGTCAACGAATGGGGAATCAGGGTGAATTCATCTCATTTGATCTCATTTGTGATCACGGTAATCACATTCGTTCACATTGATTCTTCAAACAACATATGACATCACTTCTTTCAGTTGATACATGAAACAGACTTCTATTTGATAATCTTACCGACGAATCACAAAATCTTCACAAACTTGTGTTTCTGTGTGATGCTCTGCGCGACCTGTTTTTTCTTCAATAATAGGTATATTCTTTAACGCAATCTTCTGAGAACACCATCTCTCAACTTAATTTTATGAAAGTAGTTCTGATGAAATCAACTTGCTAACCAGAAAGGACATCTTTTAAAATAGTTGATTTGAACGTGCTTTGATAAATATAAGTTGTTTTAAATTTTGTTGGTGAATATCATGACGGCAACGTGACTTTCTTCACTCGTCTGTTTAACTGAATATATGGTGAGAACAGATTACTTGCTCATTGGCGATTTCGAACCGGAGATACAATCAATTGTCATTGGATGAGAAATCGTTAACAAAAATTCCGAGCTTGAATGAGGACTTACAAACGATTTCACTTCCTTCCGGCGTAAGTCCTGCCATAACTGCTTCAAACTGTAAACGTAGCTATTGTTTTCGTACAGGTATCCTTCAAATTTGATAGCTGAAGTAACGTTGTAAAGGCATCACGAACCGGATAACAAAAATTGTACATGACGTGATAAAAGTAAATTTGTGGAGAAACTAGTTGCGAATAACTGTTTTGGGTTGTTTGCTTGTTACCATGCGTCGAAATTAGTCTGAAAATGAGATTTAGGTATAGAGTATTCTGGGATTGCACATGAATTCTGATGCAAATCAGGCTCTCAAATCAAAAGCTTCATTCTCCATTGAAGTGTACTGTCGTCTGTGATCCTCGATTGACTAACAAAATCACCAATAATCTTCTGCATTTTATTTATTTTGATTTCTTATATCTCAATACGTGAGTGAAGCATTCAGATTTTCTACATTTCCAGATTATATGTGATTACATTCTGAATGAGAAAGTGTACTTTTCGTCTACAACCGTCGTATATTTCCGCTTTCCAATGTGAACGTTTTTGGCGATTCCGCTTTCAACCTGAACTGTTGATCAGTAATTTTGTTAACTTGCCACGAGTATTTAATTTTTTCACACGTCACTTGTTTCTTGAATTTTCAATTGCGATATGAATGTTCAAAATCTCTCCAGTGATTCATCTGGGGAACTAGTACCATGGTGTGACTGATTATCTACACGTTCACGTTTCAGTTATTTCTTGCAATAGACAGTCTAAATGTTGACACAGTATCTTTCGAGTCAAGCTAAATGACCAAGAAAGTTATGGTAATCTGTATGGAATTACTGTCATCGAGATCTCTAACGTTCCATTGTGTACCCTTGTACAACGGGTAATCATATATGTATCCCGATAGGAATATGCAAGTCTGTTACGTGATACATTCTGATTATTGTTATATATTGACCGAATGATGTACTTACCTTTCACTTTGAACTTCTCGGGAAGAGCTAAGGAAAGTACAGGTAAATCCAAAAACAAATTAGATCTAGTTGCTTTTCAACATGTGAACAACGTTTCAGCACTGCGTAGGTGGTTCTTTCAATTACGTGGCGCAAAACACGAAAGTGAATTGCGTATGCAAAGATGTTTAGAGCTTCGATTCGTTGGATTGAAACGCACCTGAATTCATGTGCTTGTTTGGACAACTCGGGCAGCCTAACTGCTGAAACTATCCGCTCCACTCCAAAAATAGTCTAGAGAAATGAAGATTACACTTGGCTCAGTGGTTTGGTTGTTTTCACCGGCGTGCTTTTGACCCCATGGTTGGAGGTCCTAGTCCAGCCACCGCCACCCGACTTTGGTGGTATGTGGCTATGCTATCGTCCGGTTCAATACCACGCTTAACCTATCGGGGCCTTATGTGGTTCGCCACTCCAAATCCCGGGGATAAGGTTGCCGATTTCCAAAACTGAACAGCAGCTCAACGTGACTATCCGGTTCCCTGGTCTGTTGTTCATCACACTTAGGTGTGTAATAAAGAAAAAAACAAGCACATGATGATTGTGATGGACCGCTGTCTTTGATCGGGAAACGGAATTCAGTTTGTTTTCTAAAATCTGCATAATTTGTATGATATTGTGATTGCTAGATTAACGTTGCCCAAACATTGTGTGTAGGTGATGTCGTCACATTTGATTTCAGACCATCACCACAATCACCACTACCACGAACACCACCTTCACGACCAACATCACCACCACCACCATCACCGCCAAAATAACCAACAACAACACTACCACCACAAACATCAACACCGCCATATTCACCAGCACTATCACATAATTACTCTTTGAACAATGCAATTGATTCGCCATATTTAAAAACCGACATGTCTGCAAATTAATCAACCATTACGAATAATTATGCTGAACACCATAATGACGCAAAATCGTAATCGGACATCATCTGGTCAGAAAAAACAACAAAAGAACCTGGAGAAGGTCTTACGTTTCAGATCCAACTGAGCAGAGTTGACTTTAAAATGAACGCCAACCATTTTTTTCCACTCATCCAATATAGAATTTAGTTCTTCCTTTTGACATTCCGTCTGTGCCTCTACGGATGCGGCGTCGAAGTAAACCTTCAATTTCGTGTTTCCATTATCAAGCACTTTGGTCTTACATCCGAGAATGGTTTCTGCCAGGTCAGGATTACCTTTACTGGCTATGAGCAACTGAAACGAAAGCAAAATATGGTGTTCATTAGCTCAACACAATCAGCATTAAACAGATAAAATTGTGCATATCTTGCATTCTCAGTGAAAGTCATGATTAATACGTAGCGCAAAATTTCACCGTACGCCGGTGGCGACTTTACATGGTTGCATACGGCATTGAATGAGGCGTATGGCTGTGGATCCGTGGATGCCGCTTTGACCCAGTTTTCCGATGAAATCTTGGCGTTCATTTCATAGACTGAAACATGCAAATGATCAGGAAGTTATTTATAGATGGTATTACTAATTGGCTTTTGCAAACGTTTGTATTGTTGATAAAGACGCTTTATTTGTATAGTGTTCGCACTTGCACGAATTTTGTTCAGATTACCTCGGGTAAACAATTTTTATTTGCCAATCATGCTCTGTAACATTCATGATATACGTATCATTTGGTGAGGAAGTGAAGGTTGAAAACCGTTTATTCAACGTAAATTGTATAGATTCGGCTGCTGTTTAAAACACTGATCGATCAACCAAAGAACTTGCTTATGTTGTATCCATTCACAGGAGCATTGCTTTTGTGAAGCCAATAACGCGGTTATCAGGCGTTTGGATTGAGAGTACCCATTCCTTTTTGTGCATACCTTGAGGTCGCAGGGGCCATGAGGCCAGTAGCAAAAGGTGGTTAATCCAGACGTTTCGCGCATCATTTACGCAACTCTTGCTCTTTGGTAATCGTCATTTGGTGGTTCGCTGGTCTTATTGATGACGCTGTGCTGTTTCGTCAAGCTTAACCATATCCCCACTGCGGCCAGTCTGGGCAAGCTATTTGCATACGGAACACTTCCTAATTGCTACCCTGTCGATTATTTTACACTTTCTCAACATGAGTTCACGGTATCGAATAATCATTGTTGCAGTATAAATTTACTACAGTACCCCACACTGAATGGTTGTAATAGCACAACACAATGTAAACGGTTTCAGAATTGTCTGTTTCAAGTTCCAATTCATTGTTTGTTTGCTTGGCAAGGCGTAATTGAACTATTACTTCCATATTCGGTAATAAATTGTGGCAGTGTACCTGCTAATAATAGAAGGTGATTCTCCTGAAATCAAAACTCGTTTCCTGTTTACTTTGTAGTGTATTTCGTAAAACAAAATATCGTACAACCAAATGTAGATGGATGTATCTGTATTGAGTAAAATAACAACGAGTCTGCCTCCTCCAAGCGAGTTATAGATCCACTAGCGATCAGAGGCGAAAAGTACACCACGCGGAGAATTCAGATCGTTTTAGACATGACGAGCCCTAAACGAAGTCCGTAATTGATATAAATGAGGATATCTGGATGGTAAAACAATCCACTGTATCACGAATGTGAAGTCTCTGCGGCTTGTTTTTCGTCGTGTTACGAAGACGGAGTACCGTAGTCACCTATGACTTGAAGTTTTGAACAAAATAAACCGGCTTCCAACAAGGAATACGAAGATCAGGCCCTTTTTTCCAGAGCCAAAGCTACCCGATTTCCGCCGTTACACGGCTTTAATTTGAACTTGCAATTGAAGGTTAAATTTGAGACACCTAAAGATTGGGCACAGTACGGAAAACCTGGTTAAAGATGATTTGGGTTTCTGAAGCCAGGTTCACCTCGATAGGTTTGAAGGAACAGTTTGTCCGCGGCGATCATGCCTATCACGCATGAATGATGTGATGACACAACGTGTTGCGCAACTCTATATCTTTTCGATCGGTATTTCGTGAGATATTTGGATGGATGAAATAAGGGTCAACTTGTGATCCTAAGTGTATATACAAACTGCTCCTCCCGTCTAAACAACTAATTTTCACCAATGTTTCAGTATGCTGAGATGGAGTCTACAGGATGACGGGTGCAGGCAACACCATTTCAGGATCTTACAGGGATATGAATATAATAATAAAGAAATCTGTATCGCTTGGCAACCTTTGGGTGTTCGCAATGATTTAAGAGATCTTTGTACAAACATAAATCTTTAGACAGCTGTTCCGTCATGTTTAAGTCTCGTCAGCAGTGCATTAATATCCTCAAACAGCAGTTATCTTTTGGTGTTTAGATTTGGAATTCTTAACCTTGAACTAACAGGTCGATGGTCTATACCTAGAGGGAAATTTTGAAATAAATTCAGATAAGAACGCTCCAAAGCTTCGTTCATGAATATTTCATTGACGTGACTTTGCGAGTTTTTTAACTCACTGGCAATAAAATGAGGAACTACCGAACATTCTATTGCTTCTCCTGACGGGTATCACGATTTCACGGAGTTCTGTCCAGGTGAAATCTGTAGCTCTAAAAGTGTCAATCTACTCCTTCTTGGATATGAGCATTGTATGCATGATTTGCTACTGAGCCGTTTCTGTGCATGCTACTTATCATAGAATAAAACCAAGTTACTTTGTTCACATTTATTACCTCAGTCTGTAGCTTATTAGTATGTTTAGTGATTACGTTTATGATTTGGTCACAATTTCGTGTGTAAACTAACCTACTAACTATTCAGTAATACAAATTCGTGGTGCATATTCATTCATCCGATGAAGAACGGAAAACGTCATTTTTCAGTATATCTATGAGAACTTTTGCAAAACAATCAACGTAAGGACAAACGCCGGTCTCAAATAAAGACTGATCCTGCATTTGGATTGTGTTCTTTTCGAGCAATATTATAGTTTTCGCGTTTTTTTAGCTAGGATCTCTTGCATGTGAATGTTGCCCATTTGACTCCATTTTCCTAAGTCCTTTGGTCAAACTTGGTTAACATTCCTTGGTTAGACCAAGCATGGCTGGCCCCAACAGAAGTCGGTGATTATTAACAATGAGTAAATCCGGATTATAAAAACAATCAATGGCTTCGCGAATATGAAGTTTGTGACGCTTGTTTTCTGTCGTATTTGGAAGAAGGATTACCGCAGTGACCGATAATGTAAGGTCACGAACAAAATGAACCGCGTTCAAATAAGGACTACCAAGATAAACCCTGTTCCGTCGGAACCACACCTGCCCGAATTCCACCGTTACTCCATCAACAGCAGACACCTACGGAATGGACATAGTAATCTGACACTTTAGTTGAAAAGCAATGATGTTTGTGGCGCACAGAAACCAGTGCAAAGTTGATATAGGTTGCTGGGGTTAAGTTCACCTCGAAAGGTTTTGAGAGCACAGTTAGTGTAGTACAATTATGGCTATCATTCATAAATGACGCGAGGACGTATACCATTGCACAAGTTGAAATGTTTCATACTTCCATTAGTGGTATACTTGAACGGATTAATCTAGGAGTACAAAATCAGTATAGATAAACGCTTCGGGCCATCTACCACTGCAGTGTAAACAACTAATGTTCACAAATGTTTCAATATGCTGTGCTGGATCCTGCAGGATGAGGGCTACAGGCCGCAGTATTCCAAGATCTTGCAAGGGTATGAATAATATGCAGCAACCATCTCCATTCCTTTGGCAATGACTCAAAAGAATTGTGTGCAAACGGAAGTCAATCGTCAGCTATTTCGCCATGAAGGAGTCTCGTCAACAGTGCTGAGATTTGGAATTCTTAACCCTGAGCTATAGAGTCGACTGTCAAATAATCTTATATTTTCAGGGTTTTTCAGTCATTAGAATCTCTTGCATTTGAATGTTGAGAATGGAGAACGATCGAAACTGTTAGTATCTTGTCTATTAAATTCTATCTCAAGTTTGCACTTACCCACGGTGTCTATTACTTCTTCATAGGCGTAGCCTTAAGGAAAGAAGGAAATGATATCAAGTGAATCTGTCTGCTCCGAGGCATTTAAATTTATATATTGCTCATTCATCCATTGCCTGCACAATAAATACCAAATTCACAGAAAATATTAAAAAAAAAAATAAAATAAAATAAATAGGCACGTCGAACGCCAATGTGAAACTCACATGCATGAATAAATCCGATGATAAATGTGATTGAGCGAATCGGTACAAACATAGACAAGTTCATAATAGCGTTCCCAGAAGTCGATTTTTCGTTTGATCAGAGAGAGGAATGTTAGTCTAAATCTGATCATTCGATTACTTTTATATGATCATTTACCACCGTTTTGAAACAGACGAATGGAAATTTCTTGCACACAATCGCACGTGGATAGATACCCACGTATCGTCCTATGGTTAACTTTGGATTTCCGATAAGTCGAAAATTTCTTTTCGGCAGGTGGTGTGATTTAATGAAAACCATTTGGAATGTCTGTGAGAGTTGATTTTTATCGTAATATGCCAGATACGGGTGTGCAAGTTGAATTCATTTACTCATGTTATGTCCTGTTTTGTGCTGCTTTGAGACGGGTTTCCTGTTGTTTAGGTTATTTAAGATAACTAATCCTTCCAAGTATTTCGATCAGGTAACGACATTTTACATACTTAAAATCAATGCACATCAATTGTTCCTTTTGAAATTTAAATTTAAATAAATTTTTAAATCCAAGGCTTGAATGAATCTTCGAAGACAGATAGTATATTCAGCTAAGGAATAAGTAATTTATCATGCATGAACATGTTGATGTAGTCGGAAAAATGAGTTACGAATTTCACCGTTGCATGTACAGTGATGGTCGCAGATCAGAAATAGCTCAAGTCGTCTTCACTTCCTGAATATTTGGAGCAGATAACAATGGGTGATGTGTGGGGATTTAGTGGGTTTTCTCATTGGAGATGTTTAACCAGACTACAACAATTGTGAAATCTGTATACTGCATAGGACCCTGCTCCCATAGTCTGCAAAGTGATTTGAAAATTAGCTCTGTTCTCATTATTATGATAGAGACGATTTCCAAGAAGGGACGAATACATTGTAGCATTGGTTAACAACTTATTGGGAACTCAGTCACTCTCTTGCAGGTTACGTTTGCTCGAACTAGGTTCAGAGTATCAATCGCAAAATCTACTCCGGATTAGTACAACGACCCACTCCTGACTATCCTGCAAATCGCTGATCTTAACATCACAAACAAGCACTTTCAGAGCTAACGCTTCTGGTGGGTGCTTTGCACGTCAATTGTCGACCAGCTTTCCTATTTCCCTTATGGATGCGCATTTAAACTAGCGGACTGATTTTGCAGTATCAGGCTTAAACCAAGTAGAGAGTCACCCATTATAGATGTGAATACAGTCTGCTCCTGGATGGTTTAAACTTCAAGCAGTCTAATCAGCGGTACATCATCTACCAGATGCTTTAATCAAGCAGCATCACACTTATTGACAAATGGCTTATTACAGATGACTTAAACTAAAGATGTGTAGCTCGTGCACTCTCTCCTGTTTCAACTGCGCATTTTTCAATGATGCTACAAAGCACGACACAATTAAGTTTGTAGGAAGACGAACCAATAAATTCTCCAGCATTTTTGCCTATTTAACTAGAAATTTAAAACCAGTCTTCCATGAAAACTTTAACTGTTACGGATTTCAAATACAAAAACGCTTCATTCCCATGGCTCACTTAATTTGATCAAAATGAAGTCTACTAACATTGGACGGACACTGAGTCTGTCTACCATATTGGTGCACTTTATTGAAACTCGTGCGGTAGTAATCTAGACGAAATGCGACTCTCTGAAATGGGGAAATGATCGCAAGTCTATAAACGCTGCACTAACTTCGATAGTGTAAATGTGCGCGGTAATGTTAGAATGATCTTTTGATAAAGTAAATACTCAACCTCTTTTTTCATTGTTTTCAAGTGACCGACATAGCAAAATAAAGCATACGAGAGCAATTGAAAATCTCAGTGCCATTTATCAATGTTTTGAGCCCGTGAGTAGGTCACCACGTCACTACCCATCATCGCAAATGATTCACGAAGTAGCTGCACCGATTGTTGAGCTTTGAATTTAATCCGAATAGTATGGCTGGTAACGTGTCCTTGTGAGCATGTTATAAAATACGCTTAAAGTGCAGACTTGTGACAGATAGGTCAGATTCCATCCCGGTCGTGGATGCATCCATAAAATCGTGCCTATTCCAAAGTGATTAGAAACCGACCAGCGATAATTTCTGATTTGGACAATAAAGAGATCATCTAATTTTCAAACGGACTGCTCTAGTAAATCACTTTTCCTACTAGAAATGGCTTATTGGTGTTGCATATTTTTATTCATCTTTGGGTGAATTCAGTCTAACGTCATCTTTGCATGCAAATTCGAGGCACATCTAACCATCAGGTCTACTCATTACGTATACCACGAATGGTCTCGAACTGTGGACACTCAATACATTTTGCTGATTCTGTCTCCAACAAAGATGATCGCCATGGAGTAAATATGGAATCACTGAGAAACTGTTTTAGGCCAAACTTGGTGTTCAGGCTGGTGGCTTACGCGTCCAAGCTTCCATTCAGTTCAGTCATTCGGTGGATTGGCGAGTATGTGACAACCTAGGAAGTCGTTTCTTGTCTTGATCCGCCATGAGGATAGTCGTCTATTGTGGTTCACTGGGGCGGCTGCCATTCGACGTTACAATCGCGATCCATGTAAACAAACCGAATTCGTGACCAGCCTCGCGCTACCCTGGTAGATGTCCCTGTCCTCCTAACCTACACAGATTACGCTCCCTACGTTCATGTCCAATGCGGTTCGAATTAGTGAGCTTTTGCCTTCGCATTCATTGATTTGTCTTCCCCGTGTGCTCACCTGTACCCAAATCAGTCACACATTCAACCAAACGTGATTCATTTCTGTTTGGCTTGTTTCGATCTCACAATCCAACAGTGTTTCATGCCCAAATCTGTGTTGAATGGCCCAGAAAATGAAAAAGCATAACCTCACACAAGACAGTCAGGCTTGTATTCAAACATTTCTAAGAAAAGAAGTACATATGGGAACAAAGGTACTTCTCACTCACCCGTCAACAGATGGTTCAAAAGATCTTTCTTTGAAGTAGGAAGACATTTTTAGAGCAAAAATAAATATATGCAATACTCATGAGAAAGCGAACGAATGACTCATTTGCCAGGAAATCTCATGGAAATAATCGAGTAGTTTGATTAAAGCATATTTGTAAAAATTGATGAATGTAGTTCGAATACGTGTTATAAATCCTAATTGACATTTGACTTAAATAGTAGTTGACGATTCGAACAAACCTTGTAACTGAAGACGAATTTAGCTAGAGAAACATGCTGTAACAGGTTAACATTCCTTTGTCGAAGAAATCGATTAAAAGTGATGTTAGGTTTTCATTCTGTAAATTTATCAGCTCTTCAAAAAGCAATGCTCGCTGCGGGCACAAGCGCCCCCTGGGTGCACAATAAAACTTCCAAAATATATAGGCAGACTTGGATTGGTTTGGAACGGCACAGTTGCTGTGCGCTTGCGACCCGTTCGTGGTCGAGTTTGCAGGGATTCCTCGGCGTTTTCTGAGGGTGCTTGGCCGAAGAAGCACCGTTCGGGCCATCGGGATTTGGTGTTGCGTTTGAATTTGCCAATGCTTGTGTTCACAGGCACCAGACTCGAAGGGTCGCGGTCCTAGACCCGCCGGGGACGAAAAAATGACGAGTTCCAAACACGAAACCATTTATCCAGCGTTCTTTGTCGGTTATCATAGAGAATTCCCTCAAACTTTAATAATTCTATTTGCCCGCAAAAAATAAAGGCTGTGTGGAGAAGTATACATGCTCATGTCACACTAATATCTCTGTTTGTAATATAGTATTATTGATTTGTACAAAAGTAAATCTTTTAATGTAATTTAATTGATTTAGGCACTCCATTCTTCTTTCTTCATTCTTTCGTTGTTGCCTTCTCACCAGAACTTTTCAATTTTCAAATGAAATAACCCAAATATTCTTTTGTACTACACTAAGAAAACAAACATATTGATCCTGTGATAAAATGCTGGTTATTGAGTTCATGTATGCAGTTGGAGTTGTTCGCTGATGTGCTACTTAATTCAAGTGAAATTTCAGTTCATATCTGATTATTCAATGTCTGTTTTTGCATTTTTACTTCCTTTTATAGAATACGTAATGATTGGATTTTCGAGAAGAGGAAGCGTTTATTCAAAGTGCTGCCATACACAACACACAATGGGAAAAAGAGATATTGCGGTGGGATTCGAACACACGTCTTTTGAGCTGACAGAGGATGGTTGTTGGAAGGGTGTATAAAATGTTTTCAAAATTCTGCCGTGTAATAGTCATACCTTTCCTGCAACTGAATAGTGTATGCGGCGAGTGAAATTAGGGAATAGTCGTGATATCGGTATCCGTTTTTAGAGGAAGCACCCTGTCTGATTATTCTCGAAAATTTCATGTTGATCATTGAGCAAGGCTAGCTTTCTTCTAGTCAAGAGGGCGTGATTTACAAGACAAACATGAGGCGAGTATAGGTTGATGTTACATTGTAATGGCAAATTCTCTCAAAGTCCACAGAAATGTTGTCCGATCGGAGGAGCTGGGGCTGTTTTCATTCACATTGCTTTGTGTGGCACGGTTCGGAACTTCAATATTGATTCTTATTTACTCTCAACTTACAATCACATGTATTCACCTTATCTATCGGTTGGAGGTGAGTGAATTTATTATTTGAACATTACAATCGATTGAATCTAGTGATGATTCCATTGAATAATACATTTCCAAACTCGAAGAACTGGAAAAAGAAAGATTGAGACTGCTGTTCCGCCTTGGTTCATGGAGACGTATAACGTACGATTAGCATATCAGTGCTGCTTATGTGGTATGTATCTTCGCTACTCTGACAGATGTTCAGATGGAAAAAATGACATCAAGATGCACCAAATGCGTTTGAGCTCCGCTTTATAACAGTCTTGAACAAACTATCTCAAGCTCTGTTCTTAGCTGCGTCAATGCATTTCTGATGAAATCGTTAAAAGCATTTAATAGGGTTAAATGCATTGCGAACAGGCTTCTTGCGCAAATTGTCATAACGTAATGAGTTAACCATAAATGCTTTTACTTTATTCAGAACCTGAAAATGCACCGCAGGAATATACGAATGTCAACAGGTCATATTTGCTACTTTGAATTATTCTACAGTTTGCTTCCTTTGTCACTGATGCAGAGTTGATGCATTTTCTTGTCAATAGAATTCAGTTCAAAGACACTCGACCATTCTGTCTTATGGAAATCACACGGGTTTTCGACCGTATGATTTTTGGGTTTTCATCTCCAAGTCAAATTGCCTTCGACTTACTGTATCATTTTCCGCATAACTACAGTGTTTGACACCACACCCCACGAAATATGGTCCCATCTAACCTGTATGAACTGTGCCTAACACACATGTACTGTATGGGGGTATATTCTACCAGTCGAAGATGTATAGAACGTGGTTTGTTGTGAGAATGGCATGGTTGTGCACTTTGGTTTGTCAGGTTGGGTGATTAACTCTTGTTTTGAGTTCATGTGTAAGTCACACAGGTGAGAGCTGTTTGGTGTGCCGTTAGGATGTAGGAAACGACTGTCACGCCATGAGACCCACAGAATATATTCATCGTTCTATACGGTTTACCGGCAGATGGCGTGATTTGTTTAGTTATGCACAACTATCAGGCAGGGGGGTGGTGCATAGGTACGATACTAAGATATTTAGATGTTCCATAAGGCCGGTAAATTGACGTCGATCACCTCCAACATCAGCGATCAAACTGTCCACTCTCTAGCCCCAAGATATCTCGTCGATACGAGGAACGGAGATTCCAATTACGGCGTTTAATTTGTGTGCTTTCATGCAGTTTCCTTGGTTGAAAGATGCTCTCTGATAAATAAATTAGAACGTGTGTAAAGAAGCGATCGTGAAGTGAATCATTTGACGCAAGGAATCAATATTCCTGTTTGCTCTCATGATCGTCAGGAGCGTGGTAGGAAATATTTTCCTGAACTAATGGAATTTATTATGGAAGCAACAATGTAATATGGACGTGGTTCAATACATGACTGTTAACTCACTCAATAGGATTGCCACTTGCGAACAGAACTCGTAAGCCTACATTTGAGAACTACTAAGCGAATACATATCAATCACATCTGCATGGGGTTCAAGCTCATCACAATATGAAAACTGTTGTGAGGCGACTTCGTTCGGTCGATTTCAATCCCATCGAGTGTGTTCCAGAATCCGATCGAGAAAAAGAGGAAAACATGCACGACGGCGGATCGCTGTGTGGGAGATGAAGATTACTTCGGGGGACAATATAGTATCAGACATCTATTAGCGAACACGGCTCGTTGAGTGTTTACTTTCAACTGTTCGGTAAGTCACAATACCTCTAGTTCTTGTTGACCGATAGCGAAAAATAGAACGCTACATCGAAATTCTTTTTGATGTGTGATTTTGTGTGGTGACAGGAATATTTTACAAAATCTTCATCTTTAAGTCAGGAGTGAGTCTATCTGGATTCATAAATCGGTTAAACATGACTAATAATTAAATGCGGTCTGAGTTCGTGAGCTGTTACACACGAATTCCTTTTATGATCATGAAAGGTATGAAATAGTTATTCCGATGTAACT